GCGGCGACGCTGTCCGTGGCGTAGCTGAGAAGCTGTCCGTGGTGTAGCGGAGAAGCTGTCCGTGGTGTAGCGGAGAAGCTGTCCGTGGTGTAGCGGAGAAGCTGTCCGTGGTGTAGCAGAGAAGCTGTCCGTGATGTAGCGGAGAAGCTGGGATGTGGGGTGGCGGAAAAGAGGGGTTGGGGTGGCGGAGAAGTGGGGTTGGGGTGGGGGAGAAGTCGGGCGGAGAAGAGGTGTGTGGTAGGGGCGAGGCGTGATGTTGGTGGGAGAGAAGAGCGAGATAAGAGGGTGAGAAGCGGTGTAAGGGAGAAGGCGGTATGACGGAGGCAATTGGCAGTGCCAGCGTCTGCAGCGCTGGGGGGGGGGCGTACCGCTCTCGCGTAATCTCGGGGGCGGTGGGAGGGGGAGCGGATGAAGCCTACCGACCCCACATAGCATTTGTCATTAGCTCTCCAGTAACATTTCGCATAGCGCGCGGGTCATTGGTGGCGGGACGGCCGGCCGTATTAAGACGCTAGGGCGTGATGCATGTGATTGCCGGTCTTCGAAGAAGAACTTTTTCTCGATTTGTAATTTCGCATAGTAAGTAAGTATATGACCGGCTTTAAGAACGCGTGCGGAAGTCGATCGTTGGCGTCGTCGCGACCCCGCCACGGTCGGCCGACCTCGGAGCGACTGACTTCATGCCGTCGCTTTCGAAATAAGTACACGCCGCGCACGTCTGCGAATCCGCTGCGCACGGGTGAAGAAAGTCCGAGGCAAGAAAAAAGCCAGAAGGATGCATTTTAATGACGGGTGATCAGCGGACCGGAATGACGGAGCGTTGTTACGGCAACGATGAGCGTCGTAATGAGTCTTGCTGCGGAGCCCCCTAGTTTGTTGTCGATTATTTCCCGCACTAAATTGCGGCGCAGATCACGAGTGGGATCGTTATGTGTTGATTGGCGGCGGTCGGAGCTGATCAGTAATTATCTGCTCAAGAGACTGATTCACTGCTAACTGACTACTTATCGGGCCCGCAGGTTCGCGTCTCTACATCGACCAGCAGCTACCGTAGCGACCTCTACAGCTAGCCACCACTGCTGTCCGCTGCGCAGGGCCTGACGTGATTCCGGTGGTCGAAAAGCAGCAAGGGTGGAGAGGCGGGTGGTTACGATCGAGGCATGCGTATATCCTCGGTGTCTGGGTGTGACACACACACACCGGGAGTCGCCTAAAGAGACTGAACTCGTGGAGGGTATCAGGTGGCACTTGGCTGATTTGAGCGTCCTTTTTCTATTTGGATGTGGCATGCAGAAGGAGCGGTGGTGGTGGTACCTTACGAACGTTGGGGATGTAAGCGCCCTGTACGTTTGATTTTGGCGTGTTGGGCGCCACCTGGTGGGCAGCGTGGAAACGCTGTTCGGAGCCATTCGCGCGATCCTGTATCACACATGGCATTAGATTATTGTCCACGTGGCGTCGCCTGAATGCGTCCAGGGTGAAGCGACGAGCGAGCACGTGATCAGCAGATCAGATGATTTCTTACATGCCTGTTTTGGGTCGCGACTATGACGGTGACTCTCTCTCTCTCTCTGTCCCTCCCCCCATCTCTCTCTCTCTCTCACTCTCTGTCTGTCTTGCTCCCCCTCTCTCTTCCTCTCTCTCTCTTCCTCTCGCTCTCTCTCTCTCTCCCTCGCACTTGTCCGCTATGGCTGTGTGTGTGGGGTGCAGCGGGAGGGCAGCTCGGTGTGGCGCGCATCGACCCGACAGCTCCGACACTCCATCACGCTCCTCCGAATGTCTCCGTATAGAATTACAAACTCAAACAGAATTAAACTAATCGACGGGCACATTTTTATTACTCCGCTCACGGTTTGTTATCATTCTGATTATTCTTCTTCGGATTTTCAGAGCATTTCGTCTGAGCAGCGCGCTCTGTGATCGATTGGTAGCCGGATATAGTCTGGCACTCGTAGCTCGGCGTGTTCATCAATCGCCTGCGCTTCAAGATGCTTGTAGCCGGTCTACGGGAGAAAGTGTTCCCGCTCCGGTGTCATTTGCCTCTGCTGTGATGCATGTACTTAGCCTGCAGCTGCCGCTGCAAAAAAATATCAGTCACCCTGAAAGATGGATTCGTGTTTTCGTTGTGCATAAGCTATAGCCCATCGTCTGGACGTCGCCGTGTTTGGAAAACATTTCGGAAATTTGCGAAGAGAACGAGATCGAGGTTTTTGTTTTTGCAAACTTTAACATTTGTCTGGTGCGTTGGTGTGAATAATATAACTAGGTTTGGTTGCGTTGAAATATTGATGCCCCCTTTCTATTTGAGACGTTATTAATAAATGATAATTATGCCAACTTCCACAATGTTCACATGCAAATTTTTTTGGAAGTGTGTGTGTGTGTGTGTGTGTGTGTGTGTGCGTGTGTGCGTGCGCGCGCGCGTGTGAGAGAGAGAGTGCGCGTGCGTGCGTACGTGCGTGTGTGTGTTCACTGTGAATGTGTATCCTTCGGTTGTTTCTGCATCTAAGGCATTCTGCATGTAAGGCTATCGATAGAATGCGGGTGTGTGACGCGAGGGCGGCACATACAATATGCATATTGTACAGCTACTACATGTACGCTAGCGAGAGTGAGAAAACATGTAGGTGAGCGCTGGGGGTGCAGGGAGCTGTGGCGTATGTGTCTGCCGTGTTTTATACAGTGAACAGAAATCAGATCGCAGTGCATAGAGACCTCACAACGGCGAGTCTGTTTATGCCATCGACAGTGCTCGTCTCCGTGACATCTGCATTGCAACGAACAACCACGCGTCTAGATCTACGTACGCTGCTCATCTCTGCGTGATATGCTCACTCGCGCTCTTTCTCATCAGGGTGTGGGGGTGGTACCCAGTATGTGTCAGTGTGTATGGGGAGAGGATACCCAGTATGTATCAGTGTGTATTAGGGGTACCCAATATGTGTTAGGGTGTTGGTGGTACCCGGTGTACGTCAGTGTGTTGGGGGAGGGGTGATACTCAGTGTTTTTTATGGGGGAAGCGGGTACCCAGTATGTATTAGGGTATAAGTTTGCGTGTGTGTGTGTGGGGAGGTGGGGGTACTCAGTATGCGTTAATGCGTGTGGGGGGTTTACCCACAGTTAAGGTGTAGGGGGTAACCAGGATGTGTTGGGGTGTAGGGGGTACCCAGGATGTGTTAATGTATATGGGTGGGGGGGGGTAGTATGTGTCAGTGGTTTATGAGATGGTACCCGGTGGATGGCATTGTGGGGCATTGTTATGATTCCTATTCCATTCGCGTGATCAGGTTTCGCTTGCTATTAAAAATAACTGCAACGACTGCGTTCGCCCGAATGTACTACGGTCTGATTTTCTTCTTGTTTTGCGTGATTGTGCGCGTGCATACATATTGTGTATCAGTATGATATCGTCGTATATAGCCTACTATGTAACACCGCCGACGACCCGTCAATTCGTATCGAAAATAAATTAAGAACGCGGTATCATCATCAATGCAAAGCCTTACATGACGTGGAATAATGGATGGGAAACAACGCGTAGAATGATGGAAGAGTTTTTTGCGGGCGCTAAATTTTGACGGCGCGATGGAATACGAAATTTTCCCATTTTCTTCGGAGAGCGAGAGGGTTGTGCAGCGTTGTTTGTTTAGAAAACGAGTGCTTGAACTCAATCACGGTATTAGATTCGAGGGTCGCTTTCGAAGGCGATGGGGAGAAAATTGCGCATTGTTTTTCCAGTTGCAGTTCATCGATTTACACGTATGCAGTCGCGCCAGGCTTTTGTTTAGAGAGCACTTACTCGGCATATTGTGCTCATAATTATTTCGCGTGCAGTCGCCAGTACATTAGAGAGCAGCGTCGTTGAATGGTATCTTTTGAACTCTGTTGCACACTAACCCCATTCCGGCGTGCGCCGCCCGCGCGCGCGAGAGAGAGAGAGGCGAGAGAGTGCACTCATGATGACAATATCTAACGCAGCCACGACTGTTTACCGAAATCCAAATTAAAGTTTGCTGCGGGGCCGTAATTTTATGTCAACATGCTCAACTGCTCAGCGCTTGTCGGGGAACAAAACGCGAACAAATTCGCGGGCCGCTCATTTGAGCCTCTCCGCCAACGATTACCATTTTATTATATCACGTACTTTGTCCCTCCGGCGCGGCAAGCAATCCCGGCGAATAAAAATGAATAAATTAGCCGGCCCGTGAAGTTATTACTTTAGCTGTTATTTCCACGTGCCACGTATCTAAGCCGGTGTGAATTCGGTGCGAGGCGGAGAAATTGAGAGCGATGAGGGGTCAGGACGAAGTACGGCGGCGCTGTAGGACGTCTCGCTGGACTGCTGTTCGACACGCGATTTTCCAGCTGAAGTATATACATCACTGTTCGCCATAAAACTACCTATTCGTGTGTCGAATAGCGAGCGATCTGCTCGACTACTATATTCGACTGCGTGCACGCGTTCGGATCTCGTCGCTCTGTGAAAATCGCGGATACAAAAGGTCGGACGTGGCGTGGTGTCGTCGGTGAATTCTGCGGTCCGCTCGGTTACAAACGGACCGATATACCGATTTATATAAACTACGCAGAATCCGCAAGTTCGTTGCGTTTCGTACGAAGTATAGTCGAATATACGTCTCTGGGGAGCGCGTGAGTACAGATGTTATGTACAGGGTTGGTACCAGAGGAAAGAGGCAAGGCAAGGGCATGCTCCCCTCCCCGCAGAGGCATGAAATTTAAGAAACCGCTCGCATGCACTCGTCGTCTTGGAAACAATTCTAAGATGGCGCGCATCGCAGACGACAGAAGACGCTGCGTGCAAAGCCGGCGCGCGGAAATGATGGCGCGCATTGATCAGTCATAATCGGTCGCCTGATTTACATTTTCAATGGCCGCGTCGCGTTGTTATCGGCTTTGTCTGATGTGTGCGCGCGCGCGGCCGGGCGGGCGTTGCAGGGGTGGGGGGGGGGGGGTGATTTTGTTGCCTTAGCTCCCGGGCGGACGTCACCGTATCGTCCTCGCATTCTTACAAGGCGGAGATTCGCACGATGGGAGTGCCAACCACCGTCCTTCCGCTCGTCCTACCAAAGACGCTTTCTTCATACAGGGAACTCTAGATGTCCTACTATTTCGACGGGCCAGCTTAGGTTGGGTCCACGACTCAGCGACGGCGCCACGTCCGATTCTCCGTTGATTCGCAACGACTAACAGTGGTCGGTCTAAGCGCCATCTCGTAGGTGTTAGGTTCTTAGTTCTAAATAGAGGTATCTATGCTACCGGAGCCAGCGACTGGCTTTGGCTTAACCCCAGCAGGTAATCGATGCGTAGAAACACGGTACGCCGCGTAGGTATATATATATATATATTTATATATATAATAATATAATATATATAGAGAAAGAGAGAGAGAGACGAGAGAGGGGAGAGACAGCTGGAAGTGTGAGATATCAGCGACGGGAGATGGTTTGGATAGAGACGCGAGCCTAATGAGCAGCGGTGACATCTTTCAGTGAAAGATTGAGCCCCTGCGTGTAGCTTTGCAGCGATGTTTTAGACAGTGACGTTCGCCACCGGTGCGAAAAAAAGCCGCAGCTCGTACATTCCGTGCGTCCTCACTACGTCAGCTAGGTCCGAGGGTAAAGTGGGCATTACGTGGCTTTTGCCGAGTTGGACGTCTCCAGCTATGCATAAACAAAACCGAACTGAATGGAACTTCGGTTCATTGTGCATTTTCTTTCGGCAGGATATCCGAGAATAGGTGATCTTACTCGGCGTGTTTCTTTGAGCCAATAGGGTTAATTAATGTCAGCCGAGTTTTGAGGTTTGTGATTCTGCATCGTAAATTCGACAAGCGCTCTGCAGGTGCGTCGTCGATCGGCGCGGCGGGGGGCGCGCAGGCTGCAGCTAGCGGGCCGTGATAGCACGCATGCAAGACGGCGACGAGAGACGAGCCGAGTAAGGCACGCACATTTTCCGTTTTTTTCTGTTCGCACGCGCGGACGTGTGTTGCGAAAGTGTACGGATTTGTCCGTGACATCTAGCGTGCGTATACAGTCCCGCCCCTGCGATCAGTCCGTGAGCGCAACACGGTGTGCTTGCCGTCA